AGAAAGACTTTTGTTTGCCGCCCCAAAGTTCTTATATCAACTGAGGTTTTACCTTGAGCTGGTCATGAAGACGTTCATTGCGTTCAGCTAATGTTCGTCTCTCCTCTATGGGGTCAATAATATTGTCATCCGTTGCTAAGTCCCGGCTTACATCCCCATTTAACACCTCATCATCTTCATCCTGTTCATTTTCTTGGACATGGTGATGTTGCGGTGTTGTAGTGGCCGCAAGAAGTGCCTGCTTCACCTCGTCTTGCTTCCGTCTTGCCTCTTCAACTTCTTCCTATTGTAACAAAACCACAACTTAAAACTTGAAAAAATTGCAACTTTCAGGAGCAAATTGCATACATAATTGATAAAGCAATGTTAATTGATAAGGTACTCATCACTCTTATGCTTTATTATGTTAACGCATTATACCTGAAGACGTCTCGTCTCCTCATCCTTCTGCTCCACTTCAGTCTGGATCCTCACCACCTCATCTTGTTTAGCTCTGATTTCTTCCTCCAGCTTGGCTCGCTCAACAGCTTCCATGTTCTTACTCTCCTCCAGGCGCTCCATCATGGACTGCAATAATTATAAACTTCTGCAACTCTATTCAATTATGATTCATGTGAAAAGTATCAGAAGACAAAAGTACCTAACATCTTTGCCCATGCTGAAGCATCTCAATAATGAAGTTTTCAGCAAGACAGCTCCCATAATCACCGTCTAGGCCAAACTTTACATTAACTCCTCCTTCCTTTCCGTAATCATCCAGTGATGTTTACCCACTCAGGTGGGTTACCATATAGCAAAGCCTTCTCTATCCTTCCACAAGCACTATTTGTACCCATGCCTGCTCGTTCCCTATTGTCTTTTCATCTTGCTCATATAAAAAAAATAACTACCATCACTGAAACAACTGCCTTCTAGCTTCATTCCGAGTCATCACACTGTTAACGTTAAGTTGGAACTGCAAGACCTCTCCTCACTGGGTAAGACGTTAACTACTATGTACTTGCAAACTTACAAGTCAACAACTGGCATGATTTGTTTACAGTTCAATGACACTGTACAGTGTTGGTTTTAAACTCAATTTCCATTTGATGTTGGAATGTAAAAGGTTAAAGACCCAAAGGCTGTTGTTATTTGATCCTGTCCATTATATATTAACCACACTAAAGATTACAAAATCTGTTTTCATGTTTGTCCACAATACTAATTACATGCACAAACAATAAATTAAAATTTATTATTCCAAACAACCCTTGAAAAGGATGATTTATGGTGGAGTCACTGACTACACCATGATTCTTAATTTAAGAAATGGAAGCTGAATGGCTTTAGTCCATTTGTTCCAGTCTTTCATGTTATGTACCTGCAATTCATTCTGTCGAGCCTCCAGCTCTTCCTTGGCTGCTTGCAACAGTTTGAGCTGCTCCTCAAGACGCCTGATCATGTCTTGAGCGTCAGCAAGATCCTGTTGTCTCTTCTCCATTTCCTCTTGCATGGTGCGAAGCCGTTCCTCATATTCCTGTTGCTTCTTCTCTGCACGTTCTCTTGCTGCAATCTCAAGCTGCAGTTTTTCCCTGCAAGAGTAAAATAACTACTTCTAGATCTCTGATGTCAATCACTTAAATTCTGCATATATACACTTCACATGATGCCAGAAGATGGGAATGAACAACCCAATAGCTTACAACAGTAGTATGTTCATGTTTTGGTTAGTCCATATTATATTTTTCAAGATGTATGAGATAAATCTGGGTAAGGGTCTGTGGTATGCAGTTAAGAAACAGTGGTTTAGAGAATGTAAGGACCTCACATGAAGTCTGTTGGGATAATACAGGATTCTATTGTGAAATAACAAGACCTAAAGTACAAATGAACACACACATGTAGCAAGAACAAAGAATTGATCCGCAATCTTTCCAAAACAATAAACAACTGCTCATCTAATAATATAGGGCTTTATACTTCCATTCATTTGCATGTATTTTCCTGACCTCTGTTGTTGCTTTGCAGTCTTCTCTTCACGTGCCTGGGCCTTCATTTGCTGGACATCAATGGTGTCTGGTTTGCGGCGACGCATGTACAGTTCATGATTACCCATGCACAGAGCTAAAATACGTTTGTTGATGCGTACACGTGGTGCAAAGAATACAAAATCTGGCGCTTTCTTATCAATGGGCTTAATGATGAATTTCCGGTCATTAAAGGAGATGTTCCGTATTTCTGACCAAGGGAAACCAATCTTCGGTGTCAATCTGTTAATGAAACAAAACATTTAATTACTAACCTGGGTAGTTGCAGTGTAGTCAAGGTCGTTATACTACTTTTACAACATGCTGATTAAATTTTCCAAGGTCCCACACAAAGTCTTACTGGCAATATAATTACTTACATTACAATGTTTACCAGTCATTATAGTTTCTCATGTGAAGTGATTACAACTTCAGTTTCCTTCATATTACCTGTTCTTTTGGCTTTTTCTTAGCTTGAACAAGTTCCGAAACACAGTAAATAAAACACATTATATTGCAGACAATGAACAAATCTTTCAAACACATTTTACCATTTACTTGGCATTCACACAAAAAATTTAGGCCTGGTCTCTCATGTTATGGTGTAGATTAAACATTTTTCTGCACTTCTCCCCATCATCAAGTGCAAAAAAAAATTAAAAGTATTTTTGGCTCAATATATACAAATATGCCAAAATATGACCAACTTTTGAATATACTTCCCTGTTTTATGGTATGCTGCAACAATCTGCTGAGTGTCACCTGTGTAAGACAAACCTGACAAAATGGTAGAGAGGTGTAGTGTCAGCCATGTTCTACAAACTGTCTCATCACAGCAGCAAGATAACTGTTTTACTGACTAGCGTATTATGTATTAAAATTAAAAACTGTAACCGTTGCTACTTTATAAGCCCTGATGATGAAGCCTTAAACTCTAATTTTATCCTGCCCACAAATTCATTATGAGTTTCAAGTGTCAATTAACATTATGCTCCACAAATAAAGTGGTCTCAACCCAAGACATAAACACCCAACATTTAGAAAGTTCTACAGAGTTACAAGATGCTTCTTACTTATCTTCCTTTTCATAAATATTAAGTCCTAGAGCATCCACACCAAGCCACAGTTCAGTTCCTTTCTTGTTGCGAATCTCGAAGTAATTCACACCATACATCTCCAGATCTTGTGCAATTCTCAAGTATTCCATCATGGAATCTTCCCTGGAAAACAACAACACAAAGATTTCACAGTCCTCAGTAGTGGCTATTTCAAAGACTAGAAGTTAATGTACTCCATATACCTGAATCACAAAGTATGCTCAATTTAACATATTCACTGCCCAATGTATGAGCTGTAAATTCTGTGTAAATCATTATGCCCATGGATGACATATACAAACTATACATTACAAATTTACATGCAGTTTTCCTTCAGTCAAAATTAAATAAATTCAGAATACCAACTTCCTTTGTTGTGATGCCACTTGAATAAAAACACTGTGTACCGTATTTTAATGAGCATGTATTGGCAATTAAAATGTAACCCTTCATTCCCTTTTCACATGCTGAATGTGGCCTCACCCAGAGAGAGGTTGCTAGTGACATAACACCAATGTTGACAATCACATCAAATTCATTAGAAATCATCACAAACCTCAGCATTCCCTTATGTTCATTCCACCAGGTGGTGATACTTTGTTCCCACTCATCTCGGGACATCTTGTGTTGGTCCATGACTCTGGAAAAGAAAGAAACAAAAAGGTAAGAATTAGCAACGTTATTAATTTACGAACTTCTGACACACACAAACTGGCAAAATGAAGAATGCTTCGCACATTATTACGAAGGATGTTTAATGACATGAGTAGCATGACTTTATATTCAGAACAATAACCAATAAACTATATACGGCAAGTCATGCGACAATAGCCACTGAAATCCCAGCTATATGAACGTCTACTTTAAAAGACTCACCTCTGAGGCAGTAAGCGATCATTTGCAAGGAATCCAGAACTATGGAGAGACTTCATGTAATCTCCATGACGAGCCTGAACAGCATATGATGCCAAAAGAACAGATGTCTCAGGTGGGCAATATATCTCATCAGACAAAATGGAGTTCTTCACCTGAATGCAAAATTGGTTAAATCAGTCTTGTGATAAATTCAGTTCACCCTGATGCCAACTGAAATTTATGGTGATCAGGACGACTGTGCAATATCAAGAGGACTGACCCCTGTAATGACCTCATGAGAAGACAATGAGAATGGAATGGGAAGGGAAGGAAAATGATAAAATCATTACAGTTATTAACTCAATATGAATTAACTCTTCTGACCTTTACTTACAAAATTATTAAATCATGCTGCTCCTTTTTTTTTTTTTTCAGACAATTAAAGTCACTAAACTTCCCCTTGTTAGAAATAACAGACATTGCTGTAATCAACAGAAAAAAAAGTTTTCAACCATCATCTTCCCACAATGCTCCTTTTAAAAATGAGAATATAAACATGCCAAACAGGCAAATACCCTATCTTAAGTACAGAAAATATTTTTTATATTACCCTTTAACAAATCAAATCATGCATTATTCTGTAGCTAGTCATTATACTGACTGAGCAACTGTACATACAATCATTTTATATTTCAGCTGATTTTGAACACAAATCATTTCTGTAAATTTTCCTAAACTTCTATTTTATTTATGGTTTACTTACCAATGCTTTCAATAGCTCAGATTACCTAGCATCAAATTGCAGGACAATTACTGAATTAGAAAGAGTCTGATGCCTAATTTTAGCTACTAGACTAGGATATCTGAAGGGACTGAGGAAGACCACAACCCACCCAGGATAGCTGGGCTCCAGCCCCAGATTTTAACCTGGAAGTCCCAAATTTGAAGCACGAGCGTTAGTCACTTCACCATGATGTTCAATCCCGAACTTCAACAAACCAGCAATGAAGTGGGTGCAACTGATACTAAAATTTATTTTGAAGAAACAGCGTGAGGGCATGAGGTGGACTCAGCTGCCTTAGGATAGGTCCAGTGGCAGATGCTTGTAGACACAGGCTGCATGATATCTTATGGGCTAGCAATGTTCCACCCTGCACACATGCAGATCTGCAACAGTCAATTTCTAGAGGATGACGATAACTGACTTAGCCCCTCACATATCATACACCACAGGATGCAGACCACTACCTGGGAAGTTCCATAATCATTATTTCCTACCCCTACTTCCTTTCTAACTTACAGCTGAAATACTTTTGCATCACAACATGACAATTCATGATGAAACACAAGTGGACAAGCCAAGCACATTACCTGCAAATAGAAAAGACGGAGCGTGATATCCTGAATCAGCTCCTCGGCAACATCTTCTGGGTAGAATTTGGCGCGGAACTTGAACTGAAGGGGGTTTTCCTTCTTTACATCCTGGCTCATCACCTGAAGAATGCAACATTTAGAAAATAATGTACGCAAGTTGTAACCACAACAAAGACATTTAACAATTAAGCTTTAGTACTATTATTACTACTCATCATTATGAATTATAACCGACCTTATGGTTTAACCCTTTCTACTCCTGTTTTTTTATATACTACATATAACTTGAATTATACACCAACAACTTTGGGGGTACAAAGTTGAAGAGAAATTATATCTAGGGGTACACAAACATAAAAGGTTGAATACCACTGGTCTAAAGGATGGAGGTAGAGAGGCCGATTACATTCACACAGTTTTCTTTTCATCTTCTGTGGCAGCAGTACAGCAAAGTTAACTTCCATCAATGGCAAAAACAGAATACAACACAGCACAGTTGTAACATTATTAAAATAATTAAAATGGAAGAATAAGTATTGATAACCTTTAAAAGTGGAGTAAAGTGAGTGAACATACAGTCGCAAATTACGAAGCAATCTGCTGAGAAATGGTTTACAATTATAATAGTGTATGGAACATGAGTGATCTAATATATGCTCTTGAGGCAGATGAAGCAGAAATGAACCTTATTAAACCTTCAAAATATGGTTAATAAGTATCGTGCATTTGCTGGTGAGCTCTGCCTCCCAAAAATAAAAATCACACCCGCTTAGATTCACCTGCTGTAACTAATTACAAATGATGCGTTAAGTACCCACTGAAACTAAGAAACCACAACTACAGAGCCAATGGACATGCCATTCACTTGACAATGTTTAGAAGCACAAGAAACCTTAATTCTTATGTCAAATTGTAAAAATTCCTTCATGCCCACATGCACTTATTTTCACCAGTGTAACAGGAACGTAAAACTGACTGAAGGAAATACAAGGAAGTGACTCAAATAATTAAGAAACAAACATCAATTATGTCCACACGCACAATATTACGTAATGACATATTTAAAAACTTTAGTACAATAACGGTGACAGAACTGAGAACTTATTAAAACTACCATAAATGACGGTACAGCAGACAAAAATACTCAACCAATCTCTGAATACTAAAACACAAAATGTTATTTACAAGACCTGATGATTACAAAACTGGACTGGTTTTGACAAAACATCAACATTACAGCATTTCTGCCATATCTGGAAATCACTTTCCAAATCTCCTTCCAGCCATTCCACTGCAATGAATATCTTCCAGTTATTTAAAAAGAGACCATTTCAAGGAGTTTTGTGAAGATAAGAAGGCATCTGAGATTGAATTTGCTAAGTATGATGTTTAATACAACACTTCTCAATTTTCTCGGCAAAAATCACTTTACCGAAAGTGCTGTGTGAGGTCACGATGCAAAATCCATTTGTCCGACCAAACACTTTCTATCAACTGCACTACCTTAAACATACTAAATGGTGATGGTAGAATAATCTGTTCAAAGGAAACAAACTCATACACAGGATATTCCTTTTATATAAAGAAGCAAATGAGAATGGTTTTAACTTCAAATTTTGACATTTGCAGTTTCCCAGTCTTAGAAGCTAGTGTGTTTCGAGTGAAGGCTTTTGGTGTTTCTCTTCGTACCATATTGGAAAAGTCAAGTCTCATGACAAGTCACTAATTTTTAAAACATCAGGACCTTCCCAATGACTGGCACAAAACTGACGAATTGTGCTGTCACACAATCCAACACAGTAAACAATAGTCTTGCTGACTGCTGCACACAAACTCAGACCAGTTACATAATTGCCAGATCTCATTACTGGACCATAAAGCAGCCCAATATAATGGCCAAAACAGCTGTGTACTTCAGCATATACTGTCACTCACCCATATTTTGGTAAGACTTGTCTTCCACAAGAGCGAACAGAATTGCAAGCATCAAAAGAGAAAAAAAATTAATGCAGAATAATACATAAACCACATCAATCACATTCCAAATAAGAAAAGATTATGTGGCCATAAGCAAAAACACTAAAATCACCTTGCATAAGTAGAGAACATATTCACACGCAAGTCACATAACAGCTAAAAAATTGATCCTGAATCCAATGTTAACTAAATTCCATCCTAGGCCTACCAGTCATTTCAAATTAAATCGCGATGGCAGACATCCTGCACATATCAACCTGCGTCAATGCGTAAAGAGCCACACTTTAGTGTTGCTATTTCCAGCCAACATACAAAATGTGCATCAATCATTATTAATCTGTATTTAAAAATGTAGCAAGTACTTACAACACAAGACATAAAATGACAGAAAAATGTTTTCTTTTTTAACTCTTAATTATAATTAAAAAAGAGCCTGGATAACCAAGCAAGACAAAATGCTAATCACAAAAGCAACTTCAAGAATATTGTAATACATGCAGATGTTCCACTGCAATTCTTTAATCACCGAGGCCTTAAAATAAATGGTCTATGTAACGACGTATGCATGATCGGAGGTTGAGTTACAATTTTGGTGAAATTTGGTGTGGAGGTTCTACAATAAATACTGTCAGCTGAATAGAATGTTGGCTAAAGATTGTGTCCAATGGCTTTGGCTTCTACTATCTGAAGATGAGAGCAGCTGTCCTCAAAAACATAGATCTGTATTGAATTTCAAGTCAGCAATAATTTAAGTACTGACTGGGGGTGGGGGGAAGAAAATTTAATAATTTTCACAGAGGAAAACTTGTCTGGTGGTCCAGAACAACAAGTTCATCTGAGGCGATAGATACAATTTGCAGACGAGTGAATACTTTCCAATACAGAATTTTTGTATGCCAATTACACTGGTGCCAAATCTGCTTGAAGTCAACTATAAACAGACAATATAAGTAGGGAGTTTCTGGGTAACCACTTACCACACATTTGTATTTCCAGATATTTGCAGCGTATATGCATCTAAAAACTGGGGACAAATTATACGAAATTATAAATTATTAACCAAGAAAAATCACAAAATAAAAAAATTGTCCCAGATTCTAAACATGCTACCTCTCAGTGGGATTTTGGGTTCTCGTGGCAGTGAGTACAAATAGGACTGTCTTCCAGGTTGTAGCTCCGTGTAGTTTGGTAGACTTTTCAGAGGTCACTGCTGCCTCCATCGTAACAGCCTGGCTACGGCGGCAGCAAGGACTTTTGAAACGTTGGTGAACCTGCTAAACTACATGGCCTGACAACCCAGAAGACAGCCATCACTGCAAAATTCTGCCGGCAATGGCCTTCAAGTATTCATGAGCCTATCTACGAGTCTCCCGCTACTGACGTAAAGCGAAAAACGCAGGCTCTTAAAGCATTGCGAAAACCTGTCTTGATCATATTTCTTTTACCATGTATCTCGCAAAACATGACTTGCGGCCACTGTTTGCATCCTTGATGACGTTGGATCCTCAAAGGCGGCTCATGTGAGAGTTGGACAGACGAGAACAAGGGGTTTACATAATCTGCAAATACTGAGCTGCACCGTATTTGTAATGCAAAAATATTGGACCTGGGCTCTCCATATGAATCCTTCACTGTCCTTGACATCAAGTACACCTGCCGGCTTCCAGAATCCAACAAGTTTTCATTCACAGCAAGTAAAATAAAAAACAAAATAAAGCAGGTTTGACAACGTGACCTATTTCATTCTTAGTGTACAAATGCGCCCATGTAACAACACTTACGTTTTACTCTGGTTAGACAGCTGGAAGAATTAAAATAATCTCGGAAAATCAGACGAGTCAGGTTGTCGCAAAAAATGTTCTATTACACATCTGAAACCGCCTATCCAATCACATGTTCTTGTTTGTGGGCTGTGTTGAAATATTACGTTAACACTGCCGCGAGATGCAAGCCCGTTCGGCTGTGAAATGTCATCAGACATCGAAATACAGTGCGTTCACTTATTAAGTTGAACGCAACCGTCACTTCCAGGTTGCCTGTGGAAATTGTACGACTCACCGACAAAATTTTTAATGGCTGGACTTCAGAAATCGAAACCCTTACAGAGGAGTGACTTATTACCGCACACAATACATATTATACAAAACCAGCACGCACGTCACAAAATAATTTTAGTATTCCCCAAAGACAACAGCGTCTGATTATGAAATTCAACTTGAGCTGGTATCTGGATTTGCTGTTATTCTAGATAGTTTTGGTTCATGTATGACAATAAATACTGCCCTATAATACCGAAACGCGCCTGGTTTTACGAATGTTAAAACGGGTATTACATCGTTTTTACATGTGTTAGGGAACTCGTCGACAAGATCAGAAAACCTCACTTCAGTTTAAAAAAAAAGCGTGCTGTGAACTTCATCTGTTTAACAAACTTCGCCGAAACGTGCAACAGCAAATAAAATGTTAAACAAGAGAACACGATGTCTGCTTCAACACGTAACCATGACGAAATTAACCAGTCTAAGCCAGACTAAAACGTGTTCAAGTGCTTCATACGTGCACTAAGTATCTCCAATTCCTTCGGAATTTCAACTAAGCAACAGGGCAATGACAAAATGCAGCTACAGAAATTAGACATACAGGCTTATTTTATTATCCAAAAGAGCAATTTAAAACTGAAGATTTGGTTATTCGCTGCTTTGGTGTGCAGCTGATTCGGTGCTATAATGATGAAGGCAGCAAGAACCTCTGAAACGTTGGTAAATCCAGACTTTTCGGAGCTACAACCCAGACGACAGCCATCTTAGTACTCACCGCCGTGAGAACCTCAAATCCTACCTACAACTGGAATGTTCCGTCATTAGAAGCACAAGCTTTCACGCTGCTCCTACATCCTTCTTAAGTTAAAGTACAAGGAAGCAAATCTTTAGTCTTTCATTTTAACTGCTACTTCACACAGGCTGTGAAATTAAATGTCTGTATCGACAGAGCCAAGCAAAAATATAAAATGTCTGAAAGACATGTATGAAGTCTACAGCGGAGATGTGCTAGCATATTAATAGATGCAAAACTTGTTTCGACCGAAGGTCATTCATTCAGGGTCTAATTACTACTACACAAGCCGAAGACTATCAAGCTTGAAT